TTTATAGTTCTCTTAGATCCGCTACAGTATAATCAATGAGAGATGAGGAAGTTCGTGCACTTTATAGTTCTCTTAGACCACGTCCTCATCTCTCGTTGATTATACTGTAGCTCGTGCACTTTATAGTTCTCTTACATTACCCCATTTTCTTTCTGAGCAAATATAGAACTTGTATTATCTAGTCATCTAAGATCAATCGTACTTTGTTTTATACAAATAAAATTTAACTGTTTTATAACACCAGATTTATCTTATTCTGGTCTTTATACTCACAGTTAGTCCCCCGGTGGTACAGCAGTAAATCTACGGACTTACAACGATAAAATTCGGGGTTTCATTCCTCGCGGTAGACACTGCAGACAGCCCCAATGTGGCTTTACTTTAAAACAAACAAACATATATATTCACGTTTGAATAGACTTAGTATACGTATTTTAAAATTTTCTTCAATTGATTTTATTCCCCATTGAAATACTGTAGTATTTATTCTTTTCAGCATATGTTATATTACTAGTGCTGCCCTCTAAAAAAAAGGACAGTTTGCCGTTCCATGACATTCTCACCAGCAGACAGAGTGACAAACTTACTTCAACAATATATGGGAAATCAATCAGACTGATAGATACTTACACTTCTAGTCTTATTATCCACCTTCTGTTAAAATCACTATTATTAAATACTTGAACAACATAGGTGAAACATCTATGAGGAAAACTTCATCGAAACAGAACGCCAACATTTCGTACAGTGTTTCAAACAGAATGGATACCCTTCTAGTTTCGTCACCAATAGCTTGAAGAACATAAAAACACCAACTGATAAAACAGACATGAAAAACGAGTCCAACACTGTTTACCTCTCGTAGGTTCAAAACTAAGTGAGAAGATCAAATGTGTAGCCAAAAAGTTCAACATTGATATCAGATAGAATTCTCTCTGAACATTCAATTCTGTCCATGTCAAAACTAAGTAAAGAACAACTGATAACAAACATAAAAACATCATTTATGAGATATCATGTTCCTGTAAACAGGTTTGTTATGGATTTTGCGCAAAGCTTCACGAGGGCTATCTGCGCTAGCCGTCCCTAATTTAGCAATGTAAGACTGGAGGGAACGCCTCCACGGCTGAAAGGACGAGCACGTTTGGTGTGACAAGGGTTCGAACCCGCGACCCGCAGATTGCTAGTCGAGTGCCCTAACCACCTGGCCATGCCGGGCTCCTGTAAACAAACCTACATTGGAGGAACTGGAAGAAATTTTGTGGAGAGAATAGAACAACAAAGACTGCACAAGACTGATGAAAACACATAATGCTGCCCTGGCAGAACAAGCCATGTTGACTGGAGACAATTACAGACACGTTGACTCGGTAAATTTTGGAAAACAAGAAAGAACAAAGAATCTTTCTTCACAAACACGATGAAACCATTCCTGGACTCGAGGCCTTGAAATCGGCAGTTTGTGGCTATCACTGGTAAAATTATCATTCGTTCCACCAACCACGTTACAAGAACTACCAGCCAATCATGTCAAGTCCACTTCGATCCTTGCACTTGCCACGAATTAAATAAATAAATAAAAACGTCGTCCTTTCTGCCTGAGTTACTTTTTTAGATTAGCCCCCCCCCCCAACATTTTCACTACAAATGTCGCTCTGAATTTGTTTGTTGATCACGAATACTCTGCATAAATAATCTGTAAAATATAAACAATTATAGTTAGACATTTTGCTCTTTAAACAATTCGTTTCAAAAATTGCAACAAAAATATTTCTTAATTTACCAAACGCTGGAGTTTCAAGCATCATAGCGAAAACAATATCAATTTCCTCAAATATTCTTTAATCTCTTGTAAGATTATTGGAATACGTATGCTACGAATAATGCCGACCTGAACATCAAAAAATAATCTTTACAAAGCGCACGTTAGTATAACACAGATTCAACAAAATCTGTCAAAAGTTACGGGCAATAATAATTATCTTGGATTTAATAAGAATGTTGTTGGGCTCTTATGGAAAACGTGAATAATTATCAGGTGTAATCCGTATACATGAACTGGAGAAAAATTAATTCGACCCTAATATCTGTCAGATAAAAATTAGATAATCTTATCAGCATCATGTGCAACAAATTAATGTGCTAAATATATTTTTTTGTATCATATCACTCGAAAGAATACTATTAATAACACACAAAGCAACGCAATAGGTTATGTGTGCTCTGTCCACCACGGGTATCGAAACCCAATTTCTAGTGTTGTAAGTCTGCAGACATATCGCTGCGTCACTGGGAGGCTAATAACTTAGTATTGATTCCTAAATATTAATAGGGTTAGCTGACACTGAAATGATTTTTTTTTCTGTGTGTGTTTCAGTTGATTTTTTGTTTTTCGTGACAGTAGGAGTAATGTAAAGGTTTGGTTGATGCTTTAAAGATATATCCATGATATCAACAAATTATTTAAATTAATTAGTTTAAGATTTGAATAGATTTTCTGAATCTACTTGATGAATATATTGTTGCTAAACAGCGTGTTCCTCTCTTCTCAGACCAGCCGTTCCGTTACATATATTTGGACTCGTGGCCATTGGTCAGTTTTTGCTGGCTGTATTGGTACAAGGCCGCCAGGTTGAATGGACAGCAAGATTGGACTTTTTATGGAATGTACAGGTAAATATCATCTTTAAATTTTGCTTATTTTAATGCAAGTCTTTGTCAAACGGAGCTTTATAATTAATGTTGGTTTTTTCTAACTACAGCTTACATCTAGATACAAAACTACACAAAAACTATCTTTTTAGGTACAATCAAGTTTACAACAGGTTTGTGCAAAACTGTTAGGCTAATAATATATACAGCGTTTGTGCTTGTAACAACCACAAAAATCATTACGCCCCCTTTAAATAATTTTTAAGTATATATACAAAAACAGCAGTTTACATTGTTTTTATTTATTTTACCTTCTGATATTTTATCCTACATAATTTAACCTAGACACGCTACATTTAAATTAAAACAGAAAAAATTTCAGCCACTTTGTAAAAAGATACTTAGTTTAATTAGGTATTTGTTTCTTTTATCGTAGTGTTTCTTTGCAAGAAAAATGTTTTCAGTAATAATAATAATAATCAAAATAAATTATATTATCTGTAAAATCCTTGATCTCCTTAGAACTATTTTGTTGATCGATAAAGCCGATAGTAAAAAAATAAATATTTTGGTTTTATAAAATAAAGTTTTTTGGTAAGACCAAAATAATTTTATTTCATAATTTCGTTTAAGTAATATCCTTTTTTTAGATACATGTTTTATAAGCAATCGCTTCTTTAAAGAACTCACTACTAATTTATGTCATGTTTTATTATAGCTTATTCACTAAGTGTTAAAATATATGTATTTTTGTTGGGTTTTTTTTTTCAGGCTAACGAAGAAAAGCATGAGATGCACCAATTGCAGAATAATAACCGACGTATTCTGTTCAACCTTTTACCGGCGCATGTAGCAATGCATTTTCTAAACAATCAGCTAAAAAATAATATGGTCTGTTAATAATAATTATAATACTATAATTTTATATTTTAAAACACAAACTTTTTAACATAATTTTGTCATTTTGGAATTTTTCTCTCTGAGAAATACTTAATATACTCAATTTATATGTTATAATATTAAACTGCATTATATTTTGCATTTTTGAACAACGTGTCAGTAACATCAAGTACACGACTTGTCTTTTAATATATATTAACACACTGAACCGCTTTAAAATTGACTTTGAAATTCATATGCTAGCCATTCTACTGTCTAGGTTTTTCTTTGTCTGGAATACTGACTATACATATATGTTCAGCCACAAATGTAACGTTGAAGTTTTGACAGCTTAGAAAATTTTTTATGATTAAACATTTCGTTTAGAAACGTTTGTTTCTTTGTAGTTAAGCACAAAGCTACAGAATGGGCTATCTGTGTTGTGCCCACCACGGGTACTGAAAACCGATTTCTAACGCTAATATCAAACATACCTGTATCTTTTCGTTTGTAACATATCTATTATATATATATATTTTTTTAATATTTGTCTGTTTTAAGAACTTTATTTAGTCATTAATAAAACTTGGATATATTTTCTGCTTAAGAAGTTTGCTAGTCGCATGCTCTATGTTTATTTGTTTAAGGCGTTTGCAATACACGTTAAAATTATAATGTTTAAAGAACACAATTTTAAACACAGTATAATTCATTGAACAATTTGTTGTTGTTTTTCCATGTTTAGTTAGATGATGTATAGCCAGAAATTTTATGATCATTATTTACTTTCACTTACTTGGAATGTATTTAGTTAGATGGTGTATAGCCAGCAATTTTATGATCATTTTTCACTTTCACTTACTTGGAATGTATTTAGTTAGATGGTGTATTTTATGATCATTATTTACTTTCACTTACTTGGAATGTATTTAGTTAGATGGTGTATAGCCAGAAATTTTATGATCATTTTTACTTTCACTTACTTGGAATGTATTTAGTTAGATGGTGTATAGCCAGAAATTTTATGATCATTATTTACTTTCACTTACTTGGAATGTATTTAGTTAGATGGTGTATAGCCAGAAATTTTATGATCATTATTTACTTTCACTTACTTGGAATGTATTTAGTTAGATGGTGTATAGCCAGAAATTTTATGATCATTTACTTACTTTCACTTACTTGGAATGTATTTAGTTAGATGGTGTATAGCCAGGACTTTTATGATCATTTTTCACTTTCACTTACTTGGACTGTATTTAGTTAGATGGTGTATAGCCAGGACTTTTATGATCATTTTTCACTTTCACTTACTTGGACTGTATTTAGTTAGATGGTGTATAGCCAGGACTTTTATGATCATTTTTCACTTTCACTTACTTGGAATGCATTTGTAATTATTTTTTTCATTGCATGAGCGTACTTCTTTATACTGACAAAGGCATCTTAATGAGTTTCATATTTCTTATCTAACTTAAAAAATCAAAACATTAAAAAAATTAGAAAACTTGGTAGAGAAAACAAAAATTGGGAAATTTTTATTGGTAATTCTTTAATTCCATTCAAGTCGAATCACGCACACGTTTTGCATTGATTTCATTCCGCTTAGAAACCGCGTCTGTCGTCTTATAAGTTTATATTTTTAGAAATATTATGATTTGTTAGTTGACTTCATTACCAGTTTTATAGTAGAGATAATATTTTTCTTCACTCCTGGTCTTACAGTAGAATAGTTTTCTGAGGCCTGACATAGCCTGGTAGTTAAGGTGCTCGACTTGCAATCGTCACCGATCATGCTCGGCCTATCGGCCATGGGGGCGTTATAATGTGGCGGTCAATCCAACTATTTCTGGAGTAAAGAGTAGCCCAAGAGTTGGCGGTGGGTGGTTTTGACTAACTGACTTTCCTTTAGTCTATCACTGCTAAATTAGGGACGGCTAATGCAGATAGCCCTAGTGTAGCTTCGCGCGAAATTCAAACCAAATCACTGCCAATTTTTAAATACGATATTTTGTTTTTACTCCAACATTGGTTTTACAATAGAGAGGTATGTTATTTTCGTGTTTCTCCTTCTTTTATACACATCTTTACCTCATGTCTTTCTTAAATCTTTATTAGAAATTAGTTAGCATTGAAATTATTTTGCCCGAACTTTGAATAACAAACTCATTTTAGCATTACATCTAAGAATAATTCAGATGTTTTCACGTTTACAGTTACATTGTCTATATTAACAACTCCTCACAGCTTTACATAATATCTATGATTTCAAACATTTTGCCACTTTTGTCAGTAGTATTTTATCTATATAGGAACTTTATCATCAGTCTTATGCCAAAGTTGGCGTCATGTTTGCCTCCATACCAAACTACCACGAGTTTTACATGGAACTCAATGCTAATAACCAAGGTGTGGAATGTTTAAGGCTTCTGAATGAAATTATCGTCGACTTTGACGAGGTAAGCAACTTATAATAATTTGCCATAAAAAAATTATCATATTGCTTGAGAGGTGGATATGAAAAGTGTTAGACGTACGAAGAGTAAATGTTTTCGACACTAAAGTTTGAAGGCGTCTTGAATGGATAGTAAAGAAAATTTTATAATAAGTTTATCATAGTAATAGGTGTACAACGTTTCGAAAAGATTTTGTCATCGACTTTAGCCCTTTCAATGCTTTTTTAAGTATCTGTAAGTGTCAGTTTACTTCACATTTAACTAATTGTTTATTTTTCAGCTCTTAGATGATGAGAGATTCAAAACTATCGACAAGATTAAAACAATCGGAAGTACCTATATGGCCACGATTGGTCTTATACCAGATTGTCGCATTTCTGTAAGTTAGATTTAATTTAATTTCTGTAGTGCATATTGGTGTACATTAATATGGTGTAGTGCATATTAATACTAAGACTGTGTTTTAGTGAACACTCCTAAAGAAGCTGTAAAGCGAAACGTTGAGTGTCGAATTAAATAAAAACAACATCTTGGTGTTATAAGGTCGTTTATTTCTAGTATTAAGTTAGATGTTTGAAAAGCGAAACGTTGAGTGTCTAATTAAATAAAAACATCATCTTGGTGTTATAAGGTCATTTATTTCTAGTATTAAGTTAGATTTTTTAAAGCGAAACGTTGATTGTCTAATCAAATAAAAACAACATTTTGGTGTTATAAGGTCATTTATTTCTAATATTAAGTTAGATTTTTTTAAAGCGAAACGTTGAGTGTCTAATTAAATAAAAACAACATTTTGGTGTTATAAGGTCATTTATTTCTAATATTAAGTTAGATTTTTTAAAGCGAAACGTTGAGTGACTAATTAAATAAAAGCAACATTTTGGTGTTATAAGGTCGTTTATTTCTAGTATTAAGTTAGATTTTTTTAAATATTTATCTAACAGTAGACAACTATAACAAATCCTTCTAGAGTTCGAAAATATTGTGAATCCCTTTTGTTTTTTTGTGCCAGTTATTCCAGTTCCTCAACTATTAATATTTCTCTGTGTTCCAGTAAAAAATTGAATCACATAATGGTTGAAACTATATGTTAATAAGCTCACATTTCGTTTTATACCATTGTAATAACTATTAGAACATACCTGCGGCTTTAAATATTTCCTGTTACAAATGGTTCTTGAGAGGTGCAATATTGAATTTTTTTAAACTCTTTCAGGGAACAACCAGTTAGTATAAAACGATTGCATCTTATATTTAGTAGATGTGCCGCTTATTTTCAGGTTTAGTTTATATCGGAATGAACTATTTGGAAGTATGCGCACCTCCTTCTGCTATAGTATATGTACAGTTATTTGGCTCTATAATGAGTTGCTACCATGCTCACAGTAGAACATCGTGGGTTTAAGCACGTGGATCCTATTTCCTCACTGAAGTTAGAAGTATTCTGGGTTTTTACCTGCATCTATTAGATAGTGATGAAATAGTATATCCCTAACGCTTCTTGATTGATATTACTTCAGCGACTTGCCTTTAGAGTTGTATCCTTTGTAGTTTTATACAATCGGTGATGATTATTGTATTTTGTTCAGTGTGAGATGTTTAATCTATTTACTAAAGGTGTGGCGATACTGCGATACGATGCGAGTATCGTATCGTGAAGCCAGGATACGATTGTATCGATACATCGTCCGATACGATATGATTTATGTATCTTCACGAAATTTGGCAAGCTTTCGGTAAACATTATATAAGTCATTTGTACAGAACAAATCAGAATTTCTAACAAAGTATTTTTGCTATAAATTAATGATTCAATAAAGGAAGATGAGTATTGAGTACTACATCTTGTCTTCATATATTTTATCAAAAACATTACATGCAAAGTAACATAACAAATTAACAATAACAAAATAGATAGACAGATATTAAATTTTTATATTTTACTTCTCTTGCCAGCTGCCATTTAGTTGATCAAACTTGAGAATTTGAAAAATCACTGTAAAGTGTGAAGTACTTAAATAAGACAATGTTAGTAATATAGATAACAAATTACAGACAAACTTTGTAACAAACCGTTGGTAAAACTTCTGTATCTAGATACGTATCGTATCGACTACTATGATGAGACACGCACCCCCTAGTTAATACATAGAAACTCTCAAATACAATGTATTTCGTCTTTACGCAAAGATTCCCCGAAGTTTTATTTTCAGAAGGATATAAACTGATAAAGTTTGTTTTTTAACATATTCTGAATAATAAATGAAATTCCGTTTCTTCACTAGGAGGACAACAACGTTGAAGCGGCAAAGTATATCAGTAACTTAGTGGAACTGGTATTTGCCATGAGAGACAGACTCGCGGATATAAATGAAAATTCTTATAATAACTTTATGCTACGCGTAGGTGAGTGTTATTTTCTTACACTAATTAGTTTGTTTGTTTTGAGAAAAACACACACACAATGAGGATTTTATATTTTGTCTTTATATATGAAGAAAATTATTAAAAGCCAAAAATGGGTGTATTTATTTATTACAAGTACAAAAAAACTTCTAAAAACATCTAAATATTTATTTGGAATTATTAGAATAACATAATTCACGGTACTTTATCCCTCAGAATATAGATACATAAATATGATACACGGAACGTTTTAATATGTCTGGAAACAGAAAGTTCCATATTTGTTTATATGATACACGGAACATTTTAATATGTCTGGAAACAGAAAGCTTCATATTTGTTTATATGATACACGGAACATTTTAATATGTCTGGAAACAGAAAGCTTCATATTTGTTTATATGATACACGGAACATTTTAATATGTTTGGAAACAGAAAGTTCCATATTTGTTTATATGATACACGGAACATTTTAATATGTTTGGAAACAGA